ATGCGGCCACACGGGTGGTTATGGGAGCGACATGGCGCTCCCATGTGACTCCCCTCCTGCGCGAGCTGCACTGGCTCCCGGTGGTCTTCCGGGTGCGCTTCAAGGTTTTGGTTACCACCTTTAGAATGCTCCATGGCATCGGACCGGGGTATCTACGAGACCGCCTTCTGCTACCAATAGCCTCTCACCGACCAGTACGCTCCCATAGAGAGGGGCTCCTCAGGGTGCCGTCGGCCAAACAGTGTCGACTGGCGGCCCACAGGGGGAGAGCCTTCTCTGTGGGGGCACCTACCACCTAAAACGAGCTCCCCCCAGAGATACAGAAGATCCCGGACCTGCGCACGTTTTGCCGTGCTCTCAAAACTTTTCTATTTCAGCAAGCTGGCCTGGCCTAACTCCCATCTTTTAAATTTTTTAAATTTTTAAATTTGTGATTTTATAAATTGGGTGTTTTAATCTGTGTTTCGGCCGAAATATTTAATAATTTTAAGGGATTTTTTTAATATTTGTATTATCTGTATTTTATCTTGGCTGTTCACCGCCCTGAGTCCTTCGGGAGTAGGACGGTATAGAAATTTGATTAATAAATAATAAATAAATAAATAAATTTATCTCCTTGCAGCAAACAGCCTGGTCAGCTTCAGCACAGCCTGATTTAGCACAAGCAGCTGATTGGCAGTTGGATTGGCCTCTCAGAATACCACCTATCACCTGTTCCAGATTGTCGGGATCACCACCGCCTGTCACCACTGCCTATCGCCACCTCCGTGTGCCCCATTTTCAGCCTCCGTTTTTGGCCTGTTCCAGGTGGCAGGGACAGGCGGTGGCAGCAGCAATCCCTGCCACCTGGAACGGACCAAAAACGGGACGCGCGGAGGCTGAAAACGGGGCACCCAGAGGCAGTGATTGGCGGCAGCAGTGACAGGCGATGGCGATCCCCGCAGCCTGGAACAGCTGATTGGCAGTTGGATCGGCCTCCCGGAATACTGCCTATCAGCTGCTTATGTTAATCAGGCTGTGCTGAAGCTGACCAGGCTGTTTACTGTTTGCTGCAACAGTAGCAAACAGATTGATTGATTGATTGATTGATTGATTGATTGATTGATTGAATTTCTATACCGCCCTTCTCCCAAAGGACTCAGGGCAGTGAACAGATTTAAGATTTCATATACATATAATAATTTTTTATATATATATATAAACAGTAAATAATAAATTGAGTCAACTTGGTGTATCTGCTAAGATCTTGGCATAGAATTTAGATGTTTATGCTAGCCCTGCTTGTTGAAACAGAAAGGTCTTCAGGGCACGTCGGAAAGTGCGAAGATCTGGGATTGTTCGTATTCCAGGGGGTATTTTGTTCCAAAAAGTAGGTGCCCCCACAGAGAAGGCTCTCTCCCTTGGAACTACTAGACGACATTGTTTTAATGATGGTACTATGAGTAGGCCTACTCTGTGAGAGCGTATTGGTTGGTGGGAGGTTATCGGTTGCAGCAGGTGGTCTCGTAAGTACTCAGGTCCTAAGCCATTAAAAAATAAAATTGCTGGGAGGCAGATTTTTTCCCCCTTGTTTTCCTCCCCAAAAGCTAGGTGTGTCTTATACTTCAGAGCATCTTATAGTCCGAATAATACGGTAGTTATGAACTCTAATACAGGTAATCCTCATTTAACAACTGCCTCAGATAGTGTCCATTTACAAATGCAACAGTAATAAATGGTAATAAAAAAATTAATTTTACAATCAAGGCACACATTTATGACAACAAAAGCCTTCAGTGTGAAATTGATTAAGATCTGGTCAGTTTCAATATGAACTGACTGGCAGGTTCTAATTGAAGGTCATAGAGCTGAGATTGTTAACTTGAAGTTAGCACTGTCCTGGGGAGCAAAGCAGCTCAGGAAGAGATAGCTTATTTAATTTCTCTGTCCTGCAAGGGGACAAAATGGGGGAAAATGGGACAGGCACAGGACACTGTATGAAAGGAATTTAGCTGAATGAGATGGCAGCAACCAGCAATCTTTGAAGCATATCTCTCTCTCCCTCTCTCTTCTCTCTCTCTCACTCTCACACACATACACAGAGACACATGGTTCACTTAGTGATCATTTTCTGTACCAATTCCAGTAACTAAACAAGGACTACCTGTATAACAAGAGCACATAACTTAAATAGATGCAGAGAGCGAAGACTACAGCATGACTTCAGGAAATAGAGAAATATTCAGAAATTAGATTTTGCTTAGTTTACACGAAAGGGCTCATAGCTTAAAATGAGAAAAGCTATTAATTGGCTATCATCACATTCATAAATTAAAAAATTAGCTCATAACTCCACAAAAATATACTCCATATTAGTCGTAATGGGGGAGTAGGGTTGGAAAACAATTGTGTGAATAAATTGCATGGGTTTGAATACTGAAATATGAAATCTCCACAGCAAAAGATGCATTTTCGTAGTCATCTAACTATTTTGTTCTCCTTCCATCTCTCTCGTCTTTCTTATCAACCAATTAAAATACTCTTCTAGCAAAATGTAAGGCTGGTGCTTAACTACTTCCTTTTAATTTAGATTCACCTTTCTAATATAAAGGAGACAAAGAACATAAATCTGTATATGATTATGTTACAGCAGAATTACTTGACTACAGAATGGTTCTTGCCACTCTGCAGGCTGCAAGGAGGGCAAATCAAAAATTTTATGACTGCCTTGGCCTTAAGACTGGGGATCAATACTGTAACTGAATTTTAAAGAAAACTTTGGTGCTGCCCTATTCCTGTTTTTAAAAGTGGGACATTAGCCTGGATTTCTTTGGGCCAGGCACTCATTCTCAGCCCAACCCACCTCACAGGATTGTTGTTGTGGGGAAAATAGGAGGAATGAGTATTATGTATGTTCACTGACTTGAGTTATTTATACAATAAAAGTGGGATTAGATAAATAAATTTAAAAAATCCAATTGTACTTGTAATTTTCATTAATTGACTTGTCCAAATACAATTCATACTCCTCCTCCCTCCACCCCCGGTTGAAGCATCCCTGTATGCTATGCCTCAATGGAAAAGCTGGTGTGCCTGAAAGCAGAGTAGGTGTTAGGGCTTTGCATCTGGCAGCATCTCTGTTGGAGAAAGGCGGAAAGAGGAACAGATGGCAGGAGGCACCTTACTGCATATGGAGCTTGTGTCTGAAGAATGCATTTGAAGCCTCCCTTCCCAGGTCTGTTATGACCACAGCTAGCCAGAAATCCACACCTGAACTTGGACTTTCCAGAGAAGAGTGTAATACAATTTTGGGAATAACTGAAGTGTGTGAGGGAGAGGGGCAAGGAGGGAGAGGTGAGACACAGGATCCCTGCTGGGAATTCACAGAATTGTTACCTCCAGGCCTGTGTGCAGAACTATGAAGCCCTGTCTATAATAGAATTTCTTTGTATTTGCTCCCATTCAGGGTACTTGGTTTTTAATTTCTCATCAGTGCCTGCTTTGTGGTGTTTTATTCTAACACAGCCTGCGTTTTAGGAACTTGTCAGATTAGAAACACAATAAATAAAAATAAAAGAATAGGAGCCCAATCGTACCGCTTCCTCGCTGGTGTTCTTACTATTGAAAATATGTTCGCAGAATTAATTTTCCTGCACCAAACTGATTTTCGTTGTTTTTTTTTTAAACTCAATTTTTGAAGATGCACATTTAAATGGACACCAAGGTATCTCCCTCAGGAAGCTTATATATGGTCAACAAATAAACATTCCTAATTGCCCCCCCCCTTTTTTTATAAACCATTCTTCAGAAGCATTGAACAGTAATCAAAAGAGGGAGGATGGGGGGGGGGGTCCTATTCTTTCACTGAACCGCCATCCCAGCTCTGATGAGCTCATTTGAAATTCCCTTCATTTAGCTGTAGCGATGGTTCCCTCATGAAGCAACACATAAACTGTGGCCATTTTCCCAGCATGAATAATTTTCAGAGCATTGGAAATCTGGCCGACAGAGCAGTTGGCACCACAGAAGAGGTTTGCTTCCCATGCAGAATGATAAGGAACAATTTGTGTTTGTGTATATGCACGTGTATGTATGTCTTTGGGAGAGAGAGGAAGGAAACAGCCAGAGGATGCTTATTGTGATCCTGGCAAATATGAAACTGTTGCTTGCTGACGCCTCCCTGAATTTGATTCGACTTTGGGGCTGCTTTGTCCTATGTGCTGTGTGCCTGCGATAGAAGCAGTGAAACATTGCTCCCACGTGGGGCTGTCTCTTCTTGTGTGTCCGCTCCCTCTGCTAGGTGCCAAGAAAATACAAAATCTTGTCATTATATTTTTCAGGCATGGTGTCCTTCCCAATTTGAAGATTTCTGCTTCCATCTGTTTTATCATGCATGTCTGCAGCTTCGCTCACTTTAAGCTATATGGAGCACAGAATAAATGTTGACTTTGCCTCCCTCCCCTTTTGTGCTTGCTTTACCCCTTAGGACTATGTGCTTGCTGTGGAGACATATCACACCGTCATGAAATATTACCCAGAGCAAGAGCCTCAGCTGTTGAGTGGAATTGGAAGGATTTTCCTGCAGGTATGTACCTGATTCTGAATAACGCCACGTGAAAACCCTGCTGAGCCCCATTACATTAGTATTAACATAGGAGAGGTTTTAAAGTGCCCTAATTTTAGATAGTTGGATGTGTGGATTGTGTCATTCTGTGAAACAAAAATAATGACAAAGTATTGCCGAAAGATGTAAAGCAGATGGCTGCATCAGTACCAAATAAGTCTAGAAGGAAATATGAGGTGAATGTTCCAACAGATCAGGGAGAATGTCCTAGGTTTGTCCACCTAACTTCTTGCTATTCCAGAATACCTACAACTTAATTGTAGTGAACATTCTTTTGATTATTATTGAATGAAAATATAATAGTTGAAACAACAAACTCTGTAAACTCATTGAATTATTTGGTGAGCATTGTTTTGTAGACTAGCTGTTCCCTATTCAGTAAGAGATGCTGGGTATTTGATATTTTCCACTTTATCATAAACACACAAATACTGAAAGATGAATGGGGTGTAATAAATACTCCACATTTTCTATGGAATTCATGAAAATAACTTTTCATTCCCCAGATTGCAATGCCGAATTCTCTGTAGTGGTTCTCAAGAGAAAGAAAAGGACCCTTTTGCCCTCTTAGCAACAAGCAGCCCTAGCCACATCATCTAATCAAGGCAATGTGTGTAGTTGACACAGCCAGCCAAATTATTTTCGCATAAAGGAAGAAAATCCTTAACATTTCTCCCATTCCTGATGTAAAAGTACAGTAACAAGCAAATACTAACAATAAGTTGCCTGAGGTGCTGTCTCACTTTGCCTGCTTCCATTTTTGTAACATAGTAAATTTTTTTGATAGGGAAATTTATTTTTTGGTTTCCTGTGGCATTGGTGCTTTTTGAAAAAATCAATGCTGCATTTGTCTTCAGCATGAAATCTATGCTGCTCTTGTTTTTTCCCCATGTGACTTTAATACCAAAAGAAAATTTCTGTTTTCAGCATAATAACAAACACAAGAAGGGATATTTAATTGCCCCTTACATTGGCCATATTTAGCTTGCTGCTGACAACTCACTGAATCAGTCAGTTACAAATGGAGTAACACTGAATCAGACCATAAACCTCCAAGAAGTTACCACTGAAATTTAGTCACTTTGTGAAAAACGGAATGGGACAACCATTTTCTTCACAAGTGGAGACTCCCAAGAAGGCTTTGAGATATTTTTATAATTTTACAATATTTCAGAGTTTCCTCACTTTTATAACTAAATTGAAGAGTTTTAATATTTGATTATTGAATAATTTAATATTTGGTTCTGAATAATATGTATTAGACAGCTTGTAATAAATTCTGGGAGGTGGCTGGCAATTAGAAATTAACTCACTATATAATACACTCAGTATACAATAGTAACAAAAGCTGTTGGTTTGTAAAACTGTTATGAAGGAAAACTTTGGAATGAAGCACTAAAGCTCTTGAAAAATAAAAAAGAACTTGGCCTGGCATCAGAATGACACTAAGATAAGTGATGGGTATGACCTATGAGAAAGTCCTGCTTTGGAGGGTCTTGAGAAGCAAATTCAGAAGATCTTGAGGCTGAGGAGTTCGAGGCAGAGGGAAGTTGTCTTTCAAGTGTCCTGCTCCCAAACCATGAAGAATGAAATCCAGCCTCTACAACTGGGTTAGATAGCAAATGCACCTAAGGAATCTGTAGCATTGGGATCAGGACAATTGCAGGGAGTCAGCTGAAAGAAATGATTCTTTTTAAAGAAGCAATCTAACCCAGTCTTCTTTTGATTAAAAGAATATTATCATTAGGTGATTCACACTGAAAATAGCCTGTCGCAGGCAGAATATTAAAACATTTGTCAAATCATTCTTGGAAAAACCGCTTGTGTCCTCTTACATTGCTGAACAGACTTGCAATCCATCAAGTAAAATAGACGAGATTCCCTTTAGGAGACTGTTCTGAAGAGAGGAGCCGGCTTCCCAACTCTGCTCTTTCTTTACTAAGAGTCATCAGAGGCTGGTTTGCAGAAAGGCAAGATTCCCAACCTTGGGTACGATACAAGGAGACTGCCTGATGTCTCAGAGGAACAATCTGTCTGTCCAATTCATAGAACAGTGTTAACAGGCTCTGAAGGGACTCCGGTCTTCCTCAGTTCTTGCTCTTATCAGGGGCCTTGGGGGAAGAGGGATTATTGGACATTCTTGAATTAGTGGTTTTTACTGTCAGAGTGGAATCTTTTCCTTCCAGTGCAATAGAATGGAAGACGAAGCCCAAGAAACCCATTGGCTTGCTTACATAACCTTGAACAATAGCACTTGAAAAGCCTGTGGCTTTACAAAAGGGTCTGGAATCGTGGCATCACAGAAGCCGTCTCTCATTTGCCAGGAGGCCACGTCTGTGTGCAGTCTGAGAAGCACAAGAAAAGCTGTGAAATTGTGAGGGAGAGGAAATGGTTAGTTTGTTGGTTAGATTTATATCTTGCCCTTCTAGTGTGTACTTTTAGTTTTCTTACAACAAAAGTCAATGCTAAAAGTTAAAATGTAAATTGAACTAGCATGAAATCAAGTAACTGTTAAAAACCTGGTTGAAAAAAAAAAAAACCCTGTTTTTAACTGTTTTCTTAATTTCTTTGAGAATTAAGGGAACACATCCCATAGCTTTGGAGCAAGGAAAGGGAAGACTGTCTCCTTTGTGCTAGCTAAAAGGCCATGCAAGAGCCTCTCTTGTAGATGCTAACTACCAAATAAGTTCTTGATGATGATGATTCTCCAGGTTTACCCTAAACAATTTGACAACTAGTGCTTGTTTCACTTATTTCATCCAACAAGTGATATGCCAGTATAAAAAGGTCATCACCCTCCATGTTCAATTAAAGGAATAACTAGGGCTAGGTGTACACAACCAGGATTGGTGTAGATCCATTCTGCACTATATATCATATATTAGCTCTCACCATCACGGTGAAGGTCTCACAATGCAGATGTTACAAGGATATATGGCCCAATTAAAAGATACTTTGAAAACCTTTCTTACAAAGTAGTTGATGCCTATCAGCCTGGAAAAGATTACAAAATCAATTCGAAAATGTTAGGGCTCCACCAATTCATATTCAGTAATTTAGGAAACAAAGATTTTGAACAATAAAAATTGTTCAAAATTACTCACAAGCGCACAGCATGAAATCATCCAAGGAATCACAAAGAACCCCAGAATAACTAACAGGAATATTCAGGCCATCTTTACCTTGGCTATTCCAGAATCAAAAACAGTAAAAACAGAGTTGATGGAAGAATAGAAGGCCAAAATCATGGCTCACAAGAAGAATACTGATGCTCATTCAGATTTGCCAAAAAGTACCTGGATATAATCCTCTTAACCTTCTTAAGGAATGTTCCATGGGCAGGTGAATCAAAAGTGGAACTATGTCCGATAGAAACCAAATACTACATTCCCTAATAACACTCTCATTCCAGCTATTAAGTATTGAGGTGATAATGTCATGGTTTGGGATTCTTTACTTTAGGATCTGGGTAACTTGCCATCACTAAAGGAAGCATAAATTCTGCCTTGTATCACAGTATTTTACAGGTGAATATCAGGCCATCTTCTCATCAGTTAAAAGAAAATTGCAAGTATTGATAGCTCTTAGCAAGAGCAACTAGTCTTATATATTGCTCCATGGTGCAAGAGGGCCTAGTAGGGAGAACGTGATTTCAAATATGCAGGCAAGTCTATACAGGTGGACTTCACTTAATGACTGCCTTGTTTAGCGACCATTCAATGTTATGACAGTGCTGTAACTTTACAACCAGTCATTGAATTTATGACCATTAGAGCATTCCTGCAGTCATGTGATTGTGATTCAGGTGCCTCACAACCAGCAGGAATTAATGATGGTCACAGCATCCCACAGTCACATGATGCAAACTTCACACAGCCAGCTTCCAACAGGCAGAATCAAAGGGAGAGCTGGCAGTAAAATCACAAGTTGTAGTGATATCTCACTTAGTAGCCGTGTTACACAGAGTTGTGGGCCCAATTGTGGTGGTTAAGCAAGGAATGTAAGAGAATAGATGAAGAACAAATTCAGGATTTGGGTTGGCCAAGTCAAAGGCTATGTCTTTTTTACAAATATGAAAATCTAAGGGGGAATGAGGCATGTTTTAGTTTGGCAAAATCTATAGACCAAAAAGAAGCATTAAATTTTGCTGCTATTTTTCATTGACACTCTTCTTGTCAGTAGGAATCACAGTGAAAAACAATGGCAAAATACAGAAATATTCAGAAAATTGGAAAGGAGATAAATGTACCTGCACAGAACTTTCATCTGGAGGACCAAAGAATCTGCAGAAGTTTATTCCAGTTTAGTGTGTTATGTAGTCTCCTCCTGTAATATTCCCAAAGCAAACCTGGTCTTGAGACCAGATACAAAAGATAAAGTGTCCAACTGAATGTAGCCCAACAATCACGCTTCTGGAAAGACTCTTGAATTTCCTGCCTGTTTAGCACTGCCCAAAGCCCTCAGCAGTCCATAATAAATAACCAAGAAACTGTTTTCCTTTGAGCAATAAGCCCCATCTTGCAGCAAGGATAAAATAATAATCAAATAAAACTCTAGCCCATAATGACCCATTTTTTATATCCTGTTTTCACTGCATGCAATAAATTGTTCTGGAAATTGGAATTATTTCTCTTTCTGACCCTCTACATAGGCCACTGAGCCAATGGTAATTAACCTGTTTTCCTTTGAGAGAACTTGATCAATCTAGATATTAGTTACTGAGATCTAGATGTTTGCGGGACTGCCTTCTGCCGCCAATAGCCTCCCACCGACCAGTACGCTCCCACAGAGAGGGGCTCCTCAGGGTGCCGTCAGCCAGGCAATGTTGGCTGGCAACCCCCAGGGGAGGGCCTTCTCTGTGGCAGCTCCTGCCCTCTGGAACGATTTGCCCCCAGAGATATGAAGGATATCGGATCTCTGGGTCTTTTGCTGTGCCCTAAAAACTTTTCTTTTCCATCAAGCAGGGCTGGCGGTGAACCCCCCCCCCCTTTTTTTTTTTTTAGCCTTTTAAATTGTCAATGGGTTTTAGTTTGAACGTTTTAAATTTTGGGCCAAAGTCAATATAATTCTTTTTAAAATTTTAAATTTTGTATTGGTATGTGTTTTAGTTCTGGCTGTGCACCGCCCTGAGTCCACAAGGAGAAGGGCAGGATACAAATTGAATAAAATAAATAAATAAATAAATGTTTGAAGGAAGGAAAATCACCTCACTTAGTCTATGGGAAATTTAGAACGCACACAGGTATATATCATTTGAATTGGACATTTAGTGTGGATTTGTTCTTGCTGCCTTTTGGCCAGACATCAAATCTTTCTCAAATTACTGAACTTGAGAAGCAACTGATCTTCCCTACGTCTAGTAGAAAAGGGCTCTTATAACAATCTCAGAACCGCTTTCAGTTCAGAGTAGTGTGTTCATAAATGGAGGAATGGATTGGCTTTCAAAGGCCACCAATAAACATTTGGAATAAGAACTGGAAGGTTGTTTAATCAGCACTAGGAACAAGATACTGTAGGTACAACGTGCCTTAATTGGAAAATAAAAAGGGCTAAATAGCCATACATCATGACACTTCTGTCAGAACAAATTTATTTTTAAAAAAATGTGAACAAATTTATCTTTTGGTTCTCTGGAATATTTTCCTGAACATTACTGAGCTATTTCTAAAGAATTTCTATTTCAGATTTGATATAATTAGAGTGATCCAAGAGCTAGATAGCTCTGAATCAGTATATCCCACTTCTGCTATCTGCACATTGTCACACTTTGAAAACTTGTGTGTGTGTGTGTGAATGATTTACTAAAATCAATGTTGACCCAAACCACTAATTTTAGCTATGTATTGATGGGTTAGGTTGGTATTTATATTTGCTGTATATTACATTTTTATCTTCTTTTGCTCCTAGTGTTGAAAGTAATATATTTATGAAGATCTACCTATTGATGAGCCTCTCTTGTGATTTGTTAATTAAAATAACTGTTACTTACCATTTATGTGCTATCCAGATTGGAGACATTAAAATGGCGGAAAAGTATTTTCAAGACGTTGAAAAAGTGACTCAGAAATTGGATGGACTGAGGAACCAAATTATGGTTTTAATGAACAGGTGGGAGACATAAATGCCAAATTAACCTTAGACATGATTTTGCAAAGAATGCACTGTGAACATTAAGAGGCCTTAGAGAATACCCCTTTCTCCTCAATTATCTTTTATGTAACCTCAGCTGCCAGAAGAAAAACTGATTGGCACCCAGCAGCCTATGAGATTTGTATGACATAGTGTAACCCTGAAAAAAAATACCTTATTACAAGTTTTCTTCCTTAACCACTATATATATGCTTTGTTCTAGCCACTTTCACATGCAAATTTCTATATCAGCTTTACAGATTAATACTGCAATGCAGACTTACCCATAATTACTAAGAAGAACCATTTAACTCAGTGGAACATTGAATGTATTGGATCTAGAGTTGTGCTCAGCAAAATGTCATACATACTAGAGGAATTTCATACATGCTAGAGGAAGAGGCCTTCGTCACTCTGAGTCCTCTCTCCCTCTGTTCCTAGTTTCTCAAAAGTTGTACAGCATTATTGGGAGCACTTCCCAAAAGTATAGGTGCTTGCACTTGGAATAAAGCTTCAAAGAAACTAGCTAAAACCACTAACCATTGGAAGCTTCCATGGATCCCCTTTTTATCCGTGAACAAGAGAAATAATTATTGTACTCATTTAATGTTTTAAGTGCTTATCTAAAATTGTGAAGACCACATACTGTACATATTGGCAAATATATATATAGGAAACAGAATCTGCTAAAGAATTCCGTTAAGTTGTACCTCAGTGCTATACTTCTGTTCACCTCTTCATAATGTGTGAATTAGCTACTCTATCAAGTCATTGCTTCATGTTGCATTGTTTAATCTGACATCTAAATTATAATTTAGATCCAAGATTAATTTATGAAGATCCATATCTATGAGAGAACATCCATATCTATGAAAAGAAAAGAATGTAGTTTCCTTTTATAACTGAGTCATTTTTGAAAGAATACATACATTTTCTCTCTTCTTCTTACTCTTATGTTTTAGGGCATTTCTCCATCTTGGTCAGAATAACTTTGCAGAAGCTCACAAATATTTCACAGAAATTTTGAAGATTGATCCATCGAATTCTGTGGTAAGAAATCTTAATGTTAAATAAATAGCCATGGTTTGTAAGCTTTAAAAGTAAATTGTCCTTTAGTGTCTGATTTATAATACTGTATGGATATACACATAGACTTTGACCGACAACCATAATGGAGGCTGCCATGAGTTATAATAGTTGTTAAGTGAAGCGCCCATGTGGATCACCTTACTTACAATGCTGCATCCCTGTTCTTCCTGATGTGGTTGTTAAGTGAACCATGGGGTGCCTCAGGGGCCCTAAGGCAGGCCTTGGGAGACCTCCCAAGGCCTCACCCACCCCCTGCGGTACGCCATGCTCCAGTTCAGACTCTCTGGCCACATTGAATTATAGCTTCTCAAAAAATGGTGGTCACTTCCAAAACCTCGATGGTGCAGTGGACTAAGTGCTGTTAAGTTAGCTAAGACTTAGCTGCCAGCTGCCTGCAATTAGTGCGAGTTCAAATCTCACCAGGATCAAGGTTGACTCAGCCTTCCATCCTTTCGAGGTAGGTAAATTGAGGACCCGGATTGTGGGGGCAATAAGCCAGCTTTGTATAGAACAACACCGCTTAGAGGGGGCCGAAAGCCCTAATAAGCAGGTATATACATAAAAGTATGCAGGCTATTGCTATAATGCATTGTAAGACGCTCTGAGTCAATAGAGAAGGGCAGCACATAAATTGGACGGACGGACAGACAGACTAGATAGATAGATAGATAGATAGATAGATAGATAGATAGATAGATAGCACCATGTGGCCCAGCAATGGAACTGCTTGCCGTGCTTCCCTAACCACAAGCTCCAGAACACTGCAAAATGCTGCGAAGCTTGTGGTAGGGAAGGAAAGCAAGCCTTGTTGCTGGACAGTGTGGTATGGTCCTGAAAGTAGCTGCAATTTTCAAGGCAGCCACTTTGAATTGTGTGGCTGCTCAGAAAATGGCAACCACTTTCAGAATCATGCAATGCAGTCTAGAAATCAGGCAACTTGATCTTCTTCCCTAACCCAAGCTCCAGAGATCTTCTAAAGGTGTCTGATGGATGATGTGGGGTGAGGAGGAAGGTGTGCAGCACGATGGAGTGTGGACCACGCTCAAGGCCTGCAGGGACTCTGTGTGGGAGATGGTGGAAAGATAAATAGAGGGATGCTGCAGCATCCTTGCAGTTGGTTATAAGAACAAACAATTGCAAAGGCACTGCAACTTCCATAACTTTGGGACCACATCACAAGTAGCATTTAGGGGGTCTGCCTTAACTTTGAACAGTCACTTAGCAGCTGGTCGTAAGTTAAGAACTAATTGTATACATTGAGGTAATAAGTATCAGTACTTAGCACAATCAGAATTTGCTTAGTGAACTTCACTAGAATGATACAAAGTAATATACAGTTCAACCTTCTCCAATCTGGAACCCTCCATATGGATTGAAATATAAATTCCCAAAATTCTCAGCTAGTCAATGGAGGGCATCCAGTTGGGGAACCAGTTTAAATTGAGATGTTCCTCATATCCATCTTGAGCTCTGAAAACAAGCTGTTTGTAATGGTGGGAACTCTAGCAACAAAGAAAGCATCCAAGTCCCTTCTCAAAATCAAGGCTTGGATTAAAAAAAAAAGTATTTAAAGTGTGCTATGTTTTCTCTAGAGTGGTTCCTTTGGATTTCATAAAGAAATCTAATATATCTATTTTCCCTAGGCTAATAACAACGCTGCTGTTTGTCTTCTTTATCTGGGAAAACTGAAGGATTCCCTCCATCAGCTGGAAGGGATGGTTCAGCAGGATCCTAAACACTACCTCCATGAGAGTGTTCTCTTCAATTTGACAACCATGTACGAACTTGAGTCTTCTCGCAGCATGCAAAAGAAACAGGCTCTACTTGAAGCTGTAGCTGTCAAAGAGGGTGACAGCTTCAACACGCAGTGCCTCAAGTTAGGATAAGACCATCCATTTCTTTTTTTCTTAAAACTCATTTAAGAAGCTGTATATACCTCGGCTAATCTGTAAATGTTCCTTCAGCAAGTGCAATAAAAAAGCTCTTTAATTATGAATATATGGTAAAATTATGAATACATGGTAAAATTGTTGTAATATAGGAATTTATACACTGGTCTGTATATCATCCACAGGATTTCCTATTAATCTACCATCAAATTCATCCCTGAAGTTACTGCCAGTTTACAGTGTATACCATCAAAATTATTCAGATGGGCTTTTTTCCTATTAATAGTGACCTATATAAGTTAATTTGTCCCGATGACTTTTGTTCTAGACATTCAGGATGTAGTGATTGTGTGTATAGAATTGGAGGACAGTGGGGTGATGGATGGAAAAGGTTGTAATAAAGTAGGAAATTATAAAGACAGGCTCCAGTCTAGGTTTTTTTGGGGGGGGTGTCTCTAAAGCAGTGCACCCACTCGACCCCCACAAACTGTCCTAAATTGTTTTGAGAAGAATTATGGGACACATCCTCCTTCACCTGTTTCAACCAGGCCTGCTCAGTATGGAAAACTGCCATTTTGCCCTGTAACTTTACCCAATTAAGCAAGAAAGTATACCTAAATATTAATACTCTCTCTCCTTTGCTTTATGATCAAAATGCATCAGCATTTAACCAAGCGTATCAGAATAGAGGGCCAGATTGTATTCATGGCAGAAGAGACTCATCTAAAGAAAGAATCTGTTCATAATTCACTCATTAATCTTCTCTCCAAATTCTTCCCTTAAAGATAAGGAATTTTGTCCGTCAGATGAATAAACAGCATTTGCAAGCAAAAATAATTTTATCTCTGAACATGCCCTCTTAGGCCCCCACTTACCCCTGAAATCAGCATTGAAGTGTGTTTCAGGACAAATTTAAGAAACACACAGAGGGAGAGAACAATGCATTCTATTGAGTGAGCAAAAAGCCTATTGATTTCAACCAAGATGTGGTACATTGGTTTATTACCAAGTAAGCTCAAGAAGCTAATTATTTGAAGGTAAGGATAGCTTGTTCAGATGAAATAGGTAGATAAAAACTGGATTCATGTATCACATCCAGTCATAGCTTTCCCGATTATGATTTGTTGAGTAACGGGGGCCCACATCACTCTGGGTTTACAATCGGTACCTAGCATATCATAAACTTTTGTTTTCATTTATTTGTTAGCCACCTGGGATTATTTTATGTAATACAAATGGCTGTATACATTTTTTAAATATATAAATACAACTACAACACCCTAAGGAAAAAACAACAAACCACTCATATTTAGGCGAAGGGCAATATGATTCATCCAGAACTTCAGTACAGGAAAATAAGGTTAAGGTAAGCACGCTTTCACTTGAGAATGGACCAGACCCCAATGGTGTTCAAACACAGAAATTCTTTTCTGCACACTTGAAAGAGGGAGAGGGATAACCGGCCTTATTATTATTATTGCCATCTCGGACTGGACTGGACTGGACCAACATGCCTTCAACATGTTACAGGTTGCTTTATTTTCCCTCTTTTGCCCACAGGTGAGGGCATTCCCACATAGGTGGCCACGTGCATCCACAGCAAAAGATGCCGGCAATACCGGAGGGCGACAGCGAGTATATTCTCCAGATTTGTCTGCCTGGATGTATCTATAATGCATTAAGTGCTGGCAGAGCATGTCAGCAGGTGCGCTGCTCTTATTGCTATGCTTCTCACACGCTGCGCGCCAGAGAGCCCTGGATAATTCCAAAGGTTACTGTGACGGGTGACTGAATAGGCGGCGAATTGACCTGCTTTAGAGGTGAAAATGAGGAAGCCGCCTCTCCGCCAGCATTAAAAGCCTGCTGCTGCTGCTGCTGCTTGAAAAGCCAAATTAAAATAAGGGATCTATTAAAACAAGAGAGCTGCCATTCAAACCAGACGGCGGGGGAGGAGGAAAGGTTGCCAGCCAGCCAGGCGAGCTGCAAAGCGGCTCCCGGCCCAGCTGACGTTCGCCTCCTGTGGAGCAGAGGCGGCCGGGCGGGGAATAACGAGCTCTCCAGAGGATCCCGGTACAAAAGGGGAGAGGGCGACACGGCTCAGGCCCCCGCTGGAGGATTAGCTCTTCAGCGGGCCAGGCTGTTGAGCCGTTGGTTGCCGAGCCTGTGAAGGGCGGTGGGGGGGGGGGGGGGGGAACACGAGCCATCTTCCAGCTGCGATGAAAGGAAAAAAGAAGAGGGAGCGAACTCAGGTGTGATTGTAGAAATAGTAAAAAAAAAAAGAAAAGATGATTTATGGGTTGTCAGGAGTATTGCGGAGGGGGGGGTCATTCCTCCATCATTGCACAGGCTTTCCTGAGCCCCTCCCGAGGGGGCTGCCTGCCCCGCGAGGCGATTCGCCTCAGCGATGGCGGGTGACCCAACGGGCGCCCGCGCGACAGCCCCGCCTCGGCTTCTGCTTGCCTTTCCGGTGCGCGTGCGCGTGCGATTCAAAGGGCAGACGAATCTCCTCGTCTTGCATCTGGAGAGCGTTATTTTTAAGCAGGGTCCTCGAGAAGTAACTCCCCCCGACCCCCTCCCCGAGGCAAGCGGGGCTACGATGGGCCCTTGCAACCTGGCCCGAGAAAGCAGAGGGAAGCCGCTTCTGTTAATTTAGCTCCATGGGTGATCTCCAAAAGCTAAACAGAATTGGACCTGCCCTTGGACTGCCCATCCTTTCAATAGGATGTCCCAGCTTTGTACTTTAGAAAACAAAGAGTTTTTTTTAAATCTATCCTAGGAGAAAACTGGTAAATTAAACTTTTGTTACCCAGAAAACAATAAAGCTCACCTTAGAGATTTGAAAGATAAGCTATGGCTTGTTTATTCATTGTCATTGATTGAATATACAATATCCTATTATCCCGGGTTCATTGATCCTGCACCCAGGAATCATGACATTAGGTAATATGCTGAATGATAAATAAGCACAAACTAAGCCAGACATAGCTGAGTGTAAAGTGCAAACCTAGCCACATTTTGCTAGCTTCTCACAGTATAAAGCCATGATTTCATAACACATCTGCTAAGACCACAACGGCTATGGTCAGATTGCTATAAGCCATAAACTATATCCTGATTCACACAAAATGCTAAACTACCGATGTGCTTTTCACACAAGCTTTATGCTGAGCTTGTACCCCAAGTATATATCCTTCAGTGGTCATCCAAGTTCATGCTACTAAAATTTAGCAGCAAAATTGTAGTCTTTTGGCAGCACAATTTACCTTTTAGCAAAATTAAATCTTTGTCAGGCTTAACCTAATGGGCTTGAATTGAGAGACAAATTAGTATTATTTCCTCTGCCACACACAACAGAAAGGGACTAAACCTTACTGTTCTATGGTCTTTCTCCATCTGCATGAAGTCTTCACAAGTCTTTTAGCAATAAGGAGGTGGTGCCCATAAGAAAAAAGATGCACAATCACAAATCAATAAACCATGATTTGTTGTTGTTAGTTGCGAAGTCGTGTCCGACCCATCATGACCCCATGGACAATGTTCCTCTAGGTAATGTTCAAACCCAGATAATTAAATCTTGGTGTGTGCGTGTGTGTGAGAGAGAGAGAGAGAGACAGGGAGGGAGGGAGGGAGGGAGCGAGGGAGCGAGCGAGGCAGAGAAAGAGATGATAGAGATTGGATGGATAGATTGGATGGATGGATGGATAGGTAGGTAGGTAGGCAGGCATGCTGGTATTTCAAAGCACCTGAACCTGGCTCTTCACCCAGCTTTTGGAGAGAATGGATGATGCTTTCTTTCTGTTTCCTTCTAGGTTTATTCTCTTTGCCATTATTGTTTTAATTGTAAACTGCCGAGAGTTGCTAGAAGTTGGATAGCATATATATTTAATAAATTATCATCCTACATTTCTGCTGTAGTTCATGCTACACTAAACTTCAATTTGTATGACCATGATTTATTGCAGTAAATTAGATAGTTAATCCATTTATTTGCAACCGTAGGTTTTAGTAAAAATCTGTATAAAATTATAACAATCCTTACTGGCTCAATTCATGCCCCCTACAATTAATAGAAGTTAGCTGTCAACATCTTCCTTGCAGTAACTGCAAGCAAACCAATTTGCTTTATTACATGTTGCTCTACACTGGTCAGCAGGAAATGGATTGCAATAAACTATGATTAGCTGGGTTCACATAATATGCTATGGTATAAACCATGATTTGAAGAACTTAATAGTTAGAGTCACACTGCACTCTAAATCCAAGCAATGCAAATCACATTATGGCTTAATATGATGTGCAAACTTAGTTCCTGATTCTTGTATAAGTTGCTTCATGATTATGTAGAATTTTGTGGTTCTTAAGCCAACTGTTCCTTTTTAAGTTCTTCCTTTTTGAAGTTGAAGCATTCAGGTGCTGCAGGGAGATTTGGTAAGGACAGGGAACAGGAGACAGAATTGACAGTTTAGACTTCCAAGTTCCGTCAGATTCAGCTAATCCAGTGACCAGTAGCAAGAAGTGGTGAGGGATATAGCCAAAATATCAAATATATCAGCTTACCTATTCCATATATTTTTTTTAAAAAAAATCCTCTAAAGACACTTACAATTTGCTCAGTATATAGGAATGTCAAGGGAAGCACCCCACTCCCAAATACTCCTCTTGATTCATTACCATTTCAATTTCAACCCATCAGGCAACTGTTCCTGTACAACCCCAAGACTTAGGAACAGCAAAAGAGGGCAACAATGGCAACTGTCCATGAAAGAGTGGCTGATTTCCGTCCAGAGCACAAGGGTCTGATGCTGTGTTTTGCTCTCAGGAAAAAAAAAATTCTGCATTGAAATCTCTGCCTGACAGCCAAGAGAGGATTTCTGTCGGACCAGACAGCGTGTGCCAAGGGCTGGAACAGCAGGAACTTAGCAGATGGGCTTCACAGACAACTGGCACCACACCACCGCTCCATGCCCTAGTAGGCACCAGCCCTTTCGTGGATGCTAAATTTTTAATTCTGAAATTTAAAAGAACAAGCAAATGTCCTGGGGGTTTCAAGCTGCTTCTTGATTGAGAGCGGGCAGACACAGCGGCTGTCAAACCAAAGTAAACAGCGCCTCTTTGCTTGCCTAATTAAGAGCACCAATCTTTACCTCTTCAAACCAGTCAGCAGTCTCAATTTCCCAAGGTCTTCAAGTGCTCTTCTGGTTTTAAAGGGCTATTCATCACGGCCAGCCATTTTTTTTTTCCATCCCAAGAAGCAAGCAAAATAGGAAAATAGCAAAAACATGGATGGAGGCTCAGACACAATGAAACAGCCCACATTCTAGATGTGCCAGTGTGACTGCAGGACTTGAGTGCAGTCCTGTCATCTGGATTTTTTTGGGGGTCAGCCAGCTGGCTTTTGTTTTTTGAAAAGCCTTCTGCTGTCCACGATCTTGTGTCTTTCACACGGTTGTGTGACAAATAAAAATTCACCAAGTAAAACATTCCCTAGTATGTATTCTGCGGTTTTTAACTTTTTAGTTCTGTTGTAATCTCCATGATTCAATTAAGAGCATAACAGATACAGTATATAAAATCTAAAAGGATTCTGTTTTAAAATAAATTGGATATTTGTTTAGATTCATACACAGTATTTTAAGGTGCATCATAATCCACAAAAGCCACCGTTAAGTTTAGGGACCAGGAATGGAGGTGCTGCAAATCCAACAAAACATAGCCTCTTTTTCAAGAGGAAACAAGTTCCTTTTCTGATTGCCGTGGAAATCAAGGTGAAGGCAAGCTGCATTCATTCCAGGGAAGAGGACACCATTTTCAACATTTAAATGAGGCCTGGCTTGTTCCAGATTGCACAGGAGACACGTTTTTCCTTTTTTATGCCATAGCTTTTATGCAACATTTCAAGAGACTCTGGGCTTTTGGTAGGAGTTTCCACACAATTTGGCTGTAAATTAACTAAAAAGGGGTTGGATTTATGAAATCTGGCTGGAAAACACCACTAGGTGGCAGTAAAGTAACAATACAAATAACTTAGCTTTTTGCTGCCATCTAGTAGGTATCTTGAGTTTTATATTACAATTCCAGCCATTTCAGATGTCATTCTTCACCAAGCTCAGGAATTCCCAATGTAAAACCCTAGCATTTTTCGTAGACTGAAACAGACTCCTTAAATCAGGGCAGTGATTGCTCTTCCATAAAAGCAAAGAATATCAGAACCCTTTAAAGGAGTTACATAATAGCAGGAAAAGATATGGTTTAAGTCATATCTAATTTTGAAGGAGCTGCAGTAATATATTCATGCTTTTTTAAAAATCAAATGCTGCGTTTTACACACCTAACGAATATGGAACTAATGGAACACACTAGCAGCCTTAGAAGGCAGCTAAGCAGAAATATAGCTCCCACTTGTTGCTCTGCTGAAGCACCAATGATTCACTCATCTGTATGGTTACTTGTGCATTTTCTCATTTAGATCAGCAGCATCTCTCTGTCCATAGAGATGTATTGACTTTTAGAAACTGCTGCAATAGGGAGAGTGAGAAGAATCTAAATCAGGGATTAGTCAATCCTGTAGAACTGGGCAATTAATGAATGCATCAATAAGAAAATAAATATCTGCATTTCAGTGGGTTTACAGGAAAGAGGCCTAGATCATTTGAAAATTAAAACAAAATACTGTTGATTTTCTGTATTCCTTGGTTATATTCGCACATTTCGGAACAATAAAAATAACTATTTCAGCCTAGCTAAGCGCATCCAACCTGTATAGTTCAGCACATTGTATAAATAAGCTGCGTAGAATTGTCCTGGCGATATAAATGTCTAATAACAAATAAATCCAAGAAATGTGGTCAGGTATATATAAACTGGTTAGCTATAGATAAGCATATTGTGTAAATGCAGCCATGATTTCAAGCTTGATTACCACATTTTTACCCTGCCACAATCAAAGGAATCTCAGCATCTTGTATAGATAATAAAACAAGTTAAAATATCCATGCACTAAACCAGGGGTGTCAAACTCAGATTGTCACGGCGGCATCACATGACGTATCTGGGCTTTTTTCCCCTTCGCTAAACCGGGTGTGGCGCATCTGGCCCGTAGGCCAGGAGTTTGACAGCCCTGCACTAAACCTAAAAGAAGCCATCAGAACAGAAAAAACAGGATCTTATATATAAGCCTAGGAGAATGCTCTCCAAAAAAGTTCAAGTCTTCTTAAGAATTTCTGAAAAACAAGGGTTTCAGTTTAATCCACTGTTTCCCAAATCTCAGCAACCTTAAGATGTATGGGCTTGAGTCCATACATCTTAAAAGTTCCTGAGATTAAGAAACACTGGTCTACAGTAATCTTTACCAGAAAGGAGGCTGCTCCAAAGCATCAGCTCAGCACAGAAAAGCAGCTTCAGCCCCACCCCAAACATCTTAAGCCTAGCAACTTTTTAAATAACTGAAAATGGAAATATATTACTTTTAATTCAAAAGTAATATAAGTCAGTTTTAAGAGCTGACTTTCATCTTTAGGTCATTAATGTTTTGATTATCATAATTCTTCTGCAGCATCAGAATTCCCTCGCAACTGCTACGTATTTTATAAAACAACATGGGATATCCTGGTTGCATATCAACCAGGCTCACGTGTTAGCTTAAAACACTGTTGGCTGGTCAGCGGCTCATTTACAAACACAGCCGGCAAGATTACTTTATTCAGCCAGTTGGGCAAATTTCGTCAACTCAGTTAATTCAGTAAATATAGTTCACTTAAACAAGAATTAATCTGGGTACAAATATGGCCATATCCATCACGTCCAGTTTGGCCATTTATGTGGATTTAACTTTGACTGAATGCCACAGAATTTACTGATTAGGTTTTATTTATTGTAGTTGATAAACCTATGTCTATCCAATCTTTTTGTAGGACTGACATTTAAAAACAGATTTCACACTTCATACCTGGATTTTCACAACCCCGTGCAAATCTTCCGTTTATACAGTGATTATAAACCCAAGCATGCAGTGTGAGCATTTACGTATGCATCTTACACAGATGAACCCCTCAGTAGGTGATACAAACACCCAACAACAACAAGCTTCCTTAAAAAGGCTGAAGACAATTAAAAGATAGAATATTATTTTATTAGCATTACAACATTAAAGCAACTATCAAACATAATAATGCTTTAGGTTAATGCAAGAATGAATCAGAGAAGTATTGCTGTAAGAGGAGCAAGAAAGGATTGATATTCTCAATTGTGATCTGCAAACTACATAAATCACTATTGTATGTAAAAATCCATTCATCCAAGGACAAAATTTGATATTAAAAATTGATATTTGAGAGAGAGGAAATAAAAGATTTATCACCTGCAGATGCCGTTAACATAGCCGCTTTTAATGTTACAGATGTTGCAGGATGTTCCATGCCTCATGTTTGTCCTACTGGTTTATTGTACTGTTTGTGACAAAAACTGTTGGTACTGTGCTCGAGCAGGAAAATGGTCAGCTGGTCTGTTATAAGCAATCCACACTGGTTCTCCAACGAACAGTCTCATTGCCTTGACATAATTCTGGGAGGAGAAACACAAGAATTCACACTCAGTTTAAGAATTCACTTTCATAAAAAATGGTCGTTTGCTTCAAACTACCAAAAGGCTGAAAGAATTAAGAACAAAATTGTCTTCGGGTGGTTTTGCCATACACACTATTAAAGAGATTTTTTATTTTTTTTTAATTTATTTTTTTAAAAAAGAAGCATTAGCAAATATAATACTTAAGAACACAGTTGGAGTGATTTTATTCAAGCCTTAGAAAATATCCAGACTTTTAAAAATATAGCTATAACCCATAGTCTGATTTTCTTCGCCTGGTTTGCAATATTGACATTGTAGAAGAAATAATAGTGATATAAATCACTTCAAGTCAGCCAGGTACCAGAGTCAATATATTCAAAATCCCATAAGGGAAAGAAGTTCTTTGGACATTTGGCAGATTTAGAGTTCCATCATTTTATTGGCCTTGTTCCTGAGTCTGGGAGAAACTGAATTTGAACAGCTGGTGCTTTTCGCGCATATCATCTCAAGCAAAAGTTGGTGTGATGTTGTTCTTCAAAGCATGGGAGCAGGAAAACTACGGCCATTTAAGTGAAAATACCGCTTTGTGTATGATATTCCCTAGTCCACGGGGTTGGAAAGCACAGGACACACCTGGAAGTTGTGACTCAACACCTGTAGGATCATAGAGCTACTACCCTGATGTAGAAAAGTGTCCATAGAATAACTCACAAATTGATATTCAGTATCCACTTATTGGAGTATAAAAGCAGACTCCCAAATCTGGGCTGAGAAAATCCAAGTAACCTACAAATGTCAGGAAAGAATTGCAGGGAGCTAACTCACAGCAGCCATCTAGCTGTCATGCAATTCTTGCAACCCAAACCCGGTAATCTTAGTTTTAAGTTGCAAAGAATTCAAGAGGCCATCTACTTCCGCATAAATGCTGCTGTGTTTGAACTCTCAATTCACAAGGGCAAGCATGCCATTAATTGCATAAACGTTGAAAGTCTTTATGGCTTCTTAAACTATATCTTTGTGACAATCCAACTAAGACTGGAATTCATACTCTTTTTCTTTTTGCAAATCACGATGCAAATAGGCTACTCTACAACCAGTTTGCTAGTTCCGCTATCAAGAGAATACAGGAAATAACTGGGCACAGGATGGCTTAGTTCACACACTATACTGAACTGCAATCAAGAAGCAGATTTGAAATTGGATTACCAGGGACAAAGTCCTAGGCCAGTCTGAGCTTGTCTGTTAACAGCAGTTTCACTTGAAGCAACAAGCACGAGACCATCACCCCAGTCAGTATCTCTAACCTACTTAGCTAGAAAAAATGGAGAGCTTCGTTTCAGAAAGGGAAAGAAGCTTTCAAACGACAACCTTTTATTTGTCAGTGAAGAAAATAAATAATTTATTTTCTTTTTCTCTCTCTTTCTTCCTTTCTCTCTCGCTCTCTTTTCTTTCTCAGCAGGAGCTGGATAAGAAATAGCTCATTTCATCACATGAGCTAAAATGGAATGTAGTCTCTTGCTTATGATCGACAGCTCATGCTATAACCATGTTAGCCTTTATATTACCACATAATTATTGGCTTATATTTTTAAATGTTAGCCTCTGATCAGTAGCAGCATTTTAGCAACAGCTGCTTAATATTTAAATTAAGACATTTTTAAAAATTCAGTCGCTTAGGCAGGCCACTGTGTGTTTGAGTTATTAAACAGTATAATATCAGAGACATTAGAAATAACAGGTTATGTTGGACTAAGATCTTTTTAAAAGTCAGAATTGTGTGTTTGAGTTGTGTTATTTAGTTGTGTGTGCGGGGGAGGGGGTTAAGGTTTTGAAATGAAATGGAATAGAATACCTAGCTATCTTAATAAAATAAAACACATTTATTATGGCATGTGGCTAGCACAAAACCTGGGATTCAGAAACTACAGCCTTATGCATATTTTCCCTATGTAATAAAACCAACAAAAGGATCCCACAAACTGATCTCCAGTCCACAGCAACTGAGGATAGAGACACAGCAAAATACTAGCTTCTTCAACCTTCTGTTCTGAATGCTTTGTATCCCACACAACAAGCCAAACAACAGAAAAAGCAGAGCAGATCTCCTGAGGCTCCAATGGATAGTTGCTATGGTAACACCAATCCCTTACTAAAGATGGATTTTATGACAAGGCTGGAGACACAAGTGCTCCATTTATCTATAAAGATAGCAGTTCAGAGCCGAGAAAGCATATGTGCTCTAATACTATCCTTCTCTGAACCTTAGGAATTGATTTCTAAGCCCAGAGAGTTGCTTGGAAGTCAAGAAAGTTTTCAATACTGTGCTATGATTTCAAGCAAGGTAACTCACCAATATCAAATCAATGATTTTCCATCAGTAAGATGCTAAATTTGTTAGAATGGGGTATGAATTTGTAGATGTTGCTTCTTCAAGATTCTAACCATACATTTCTACATTAGTGATTCACAGCCAATGTATTATCAGAGCTATGTTTTTATATGCTGGTCTGCATCTGCCTCAACTCTATGTGGATTTTTTTTAATTTATTTTTTAAAGAAAAACCTGTTTCATACAGATTCATCCAGTGTAAAACGGTGATAGATGCCAGCAGGAAGTGTGATCATGTCGCCCTTCTCCATAGCAATCCGGATCCACTTATCATCTTTATCACGAACATCAAAATACCCACTTCCTTCCAGGATGTAGCGAATCTCATCATCCAGGTGTAAGTGCTCTTCATAAAATATTTTTATCTAGGAGAGGGAAGGAACAGAATAGGAAGCATTTCCGTGGAGCAAGTCTATTACAAACACATACCGGTAGCATATTGCATGCTGCACAGATTGTAAGGTGCTACTTCCAAAATGCTCAAGCTTTTGTCAATAGGCAGCTGTTCAATGTTTATAAGGTAGAGTTTGAAGTTCTCTCAGACTTATCCTTACAGCAATTAATTAATGCACCCTGTTATTAACACAGCTGCCTGCAATTTCTGCAGGTTCGAATCTTACCAGGCTCAAGGTTGACTCAGCCTTCCATCCTTTCTAAGGTAGGTTAAATGAGGACCCAGTTTGTGGGGGCAATAAGCTGACTTTGTATAAATATACAAAAGTATGAAGGCTATTGCTTAACGCATTGTAAGCCGCCCTGAGTCTCCGGAGAAGGGCGGCATATAAATCAAATTAAAAAAAAAAAAAATTATACAAAGTAGATTGGCAGACTTGCAGCAGATGAAGGACTTCTGACCTTTGAACATCTAGTTGGAAAACATTTTAAAAGCACATTCCTAGTAATCCTTACAGTCCCTCAGCCTCAATTTGAGACCAGCTGTTTGTAACATTAAATCTATGAGTGCTATGTATTGAAATACCAGTCTAGTTGTTGCAGATAATAAGAATTACATAAAAGCAAATGAGCATGTTGGTTGTATTCTTTCCCTGCTCTATGCCCAGCATAGAATTTAAGCTCTTTGTTCCTCCTTGACCAGATGGCAGCACACTAGTCAAAACTGTGCAAGCTGGCAACTTGGGAAGGCTTATTTCAATGAGTGAAGCACCCTTCTAAGTTGCTTGAATAGTCCTACTAAATAGGTTGTCATCTATGGGCAGATGAAGCCATATTTCTCTCTAGGTGGCATTGTTTTTCAAATATACCCTTCATAAAAATCTCACAAATTTCATACCCCCACCCTAAACAAATCATATTGTCAGCTACCTGGATTCAATCTAGTACTACCTCGATACATTAGGATTAGAACATCCAAAATTTCCAATTTTTGATTTTATAGGTTGTGGATTCTAAATTGCAGTTTCTAAAGGACTTGGAAGACACCAGACTGTATAAGGGTGATTTTTCAGCATTTTTTTCCCTAACACATGAAAATATCAAATTGACTGATATAAACGTATTTGAATTAAAATGTTCCTCTCCGCTACTGAGAGATATTTATGGAGACTCCCTGAGGAGAATTTGTCCTTCCATTACGCTGGTGACTGGCTCAAGCAGTTGATTTGAAGTGTCACAAAAGCTTAGCTGCTCAGCAACTATTCCATATATTGTTTTAGGTTGTGTATTGGCATGTGAGAATGACCTTGAAGGACAAGGGGAAGAAATGCTTCCTAGGAAATGATCAGACAAGAGAGTGGAAGAGCCCTAGGTTTCTTAATGGTCAGAGAGAGAAAATTAGGGGAGACCCTATCTAATGGATTAGTTGAAAGTGTTGGCAGAAGATTTGCACTTTCAGACTCGCAAGGTTCTGTTAATGTACCCTTACAATAAAGTAGATTTAGCTCATCTGGTTGTGTTTCCTGTCTGATTTACTCGGGAGGGCTGACAAGATGCAAACATTCCCAGGATTTTCTGCCTCAGATACTAAAGTATTTTATAGACAGCCTTGAACACCATGCACTTCAACTTTTCCAACCTAGCTCTAAACCAGTGCTTACCAACCTAAACAACTTTGTGATGTGTGGACTTCATCTCCCAGAATTGCCATTGCTAAGAATTCTTGGAGTTGAAATCCACACATCTTAAACTTGCCAGGTTGGGAAACAGCAATAGCACTTAGACTTATATACCGCTTTACAGTGCTTTACAGCCCTCTCTAAGTGGTTTACAAAGTCAGCATACTGTCCCCAACAATCTGGCTCCTCATTTTATCGACCTCGGAAGGATGGAAGGCTGAGTCAACCTTGAGTCTGCTGTGGATCTACAGATTTCATTTCTCAGAATTTCTTGCTGAAATCAGTGATCAGGCTGACCATTCTAGAAGTAGAAATCCACATAGCAAAAGTGTCAGGCTCAGAAAGCTGACACACCTTTTTTTTTTTTAATTTGATTTATATGCCGCCCTTCTCCGGAGGCTCAGGGCGGCTTACAATGCGTTAAGCAATAGCCTTCATACTTTTGTATATTTATACAAAGTCAGCTTATTGCTTATTGCCCCCACCTTGACATGGGAGTGGGGTGGAAAGCCATCCGGATGTATTTCTGCACTGAGCAGGGATTCAATTCCATGACCTTCCCTTAGAGGATAGCTATGACAGGGAGACCATTCTAGTTCCTGCTTCTCTTTCTCCACAGACAATCTCAGAGCCTTTTCACATGCAGTCTTCTACTTTTGAAAGATTTTCTACCTCTGAAATCATATGTCTTGTTCCGTTCCTTCCATCAAATGTTTATTCTATCCTAGAATGTCTGGATGCATTTTGGCTTCAGACAAGTCAGACTCTGTTAGCAAGCTGTGTCCTCCTTGGTTTTATTCTCTGGGAATCAGGGTGCCATTCATTCTCTCTCTCTCTCTCTCTCTCTCTCTCTCTCTCTCTCTCTCTCTCATCCCACACACACACACACACACACTCACTCACTCACAGACAGACCAGTTCATCAATTTGGATGGAATATGACTCTGAAAAGAAATAACCTTAATGCTCTGACTGGCTAATAAATGAAATGCCCACCTCCCTTTCTCCTTATTATCAGATTCAGCGAAGCTGAGGAGCTGCTAAGCCTAATCAATAATAAAACAGATGGGCGGCAATAAAACAAAACTCAATCCAGACAAAACTGGATTGTGGTGGTGCCATTATTAGGCACTTTGTTTGACTTGGAGAGGTGTCCGGGGCTTTAAGTTCAATTAAAACAAAGAAGTAGAACCTCAAACCATGCTCAGAAAAATCAAGGAGTATTTTCACTTGTTTAAGACAAAAGTATGTTAAATATTTAACTAAGTGCTCCTTAACAATGATAGCTGCTACTTTCTGTTAATTGGTGCTTCAACATAGTCTTCAAGGCCAGACCCACGTATAATGCATTATAGAACAGGTAGTCCTCGACTTATGAACACAACTGGGGCCAGAATTTCCATTGCTAAGTAAGGCAGTTGTTAAGTGAGTTGCACCTGATTTTACAGTATGACGTTTTTGCCACAGTTGTTAAAGAATCACTACAGTTGTTAAGTGAATCATGCAGTCATTAAGTGAATTCAGCTTCTCCCATGGACTTTGCTTGTCCGAAGCCTGGCTGGGAAAGTTGCAAATGGCCAGGATGCTGCAACCATCGTAAATAGATGCCAGTTACCAAGCACCTAATTTCTGATCATGCGACCGTGAGGAGGCTGCGATGATCAGTAGATAGGAGGATTGATTGTAAGTCATTTTTTTCAGTATCATTGTAGCTTCAAGAAGTCATTAAATAAATGGCTGTAAGTCAAGGACTACCTGTAGTCTAATGATAATTCTTCAGGAGCACTCAGCAGATCTTTAAGGAATTCAGTGGCTAAATTTACATTGATTTATTTACACTGAATTAAACTATTAATATGATGTTTGTTTTGGTTTTGTGTGATGTGTGACTTCTATTAGTCACTTATTCAAAAAAGCCATATTTAACAATGCCATTGTTTAACACAAAATATGAATCAAGCCACTGTTAGTCCACAAACCATGGTTCTGAACTGAGACACCTGGTCTACCCCAGCATGTGGGAGGGAGCATACTGCATCCCTTTTGCCTTTCAGCTCCAATCCAGGAGCCCTCAAGGAGTCGCATTCACCACAAACCATTTTATACCAAATTTATATTTCGCTGATAAACTTGTGGCTCTGAGGTAAATACAACTGCCTAACATGCAGGCAGCCCAAGTTTGAATCCAAGTAAGGGTATGACTAGCTGATGAGAACTAAGTAGCTTGAAATAGATCTATATTAGTCTCCCTTTATTTCTTTATCAGCGAAATATAAATATATATATATATATATAAATGTATATGTATATTTAATATTTCGGGTTTCTTCCCGTGTAATTGTGGATATATCCCTAAAAGGGTAGAAGCGACGTTAGGGATATATCCACAATTACACGGGAAGAAACCCGAAATATTAAATATACACACATACGTTTTCACATACATACGTGAAAACTTACATAAACATATATATATATATATATATATATATATATATATATATAGTACACACACACATATATATATACATATCACACCTTTATTATTTTTACAGATAACTCAAGGCAGCCAACATATCCAACACATCTTCCTCCTATTTTCCCCACAACAACCCTGTGAGATGATGAGTTGGGCTAAGTGTGAGTGATTGGCCCAAGATCAAACAGCTGGTTTTCACGGCTAAGGCGGGACTTGAACTCATGGTCTCTTGCTTTCTAACCTGGCATCTTAACTACCAGATCAGACTGCCTCTGTTGTTAATATGTTAAAGGTTAATATGTTGTAAAAACCCAGCCATTGGATCTACACTTAAAATGCAGTGTTCTCTGACTGGATGTCCTCCAGATGTGCTGGAGAAACAACCCCTAGCTAGAATATTGTTTTACAATCAGAGAGCACCAACCAATGTGGGGACAGCTGAACTACTGCTATAAATAAATCAGTAGGTTCAGCGGCTATGGATACATCCCAAAGGAATACTATTGTTTTCTTCCTGCCTGCTTCCCTTCCTACTCAGGCTTTTTCTTTCCCCTAACTGCCATAAAAAGTTTATTAATATAAACCAAGGGAAGGAACTACAAAAACAACCCTTACCCTTTAATTCTGAGGATGGGCAACATCTGGTTTTTAAACTTCACAGATAACCTTTTGCAGTGCCAATTTTGAAATGGCAGGCTCCATCTTTCATGAAATGTATCAGCTCTCTGCCTAACAACTAATTAATTTCTATATTTTCTATTCCGTAGTCCGGCATCTGATAGTAAGAATAAATAAAAGTGTGACAGAATGAAATCTTCTATCTCTGGGAAGATAGGACATTAGAAAGGGTCAGATTTCAGACGTTGTAGCCAAATCAAAGCTTCATTTATTTATTTTGTTTTTGCATCTATGTATCTAGCTCCTTTTGACAGGTTTCTGACAATGAATCCTTCAGTGGCCTAACTATTTTTCAGAAGCCAGGTTATTATCATCCTTCCTGTTACTGCTAGAAGAAAGTCTAAATCTAGTAATTAAATAAATAAATAAATAAACAATGACAGATGCATTTTGTCTTTCTTAGGATAATTTTTAAAAATCAATGCTAACCACAACAAGTGAGGATATTCCTAAAATGAATCAAGAGAAATAGATCAGGTATGCATTCTTAATTTTCTCCAGTGATCAACTAAAATATTCATAGCACTTCAAATGCATTGCCTTGACAACCACCTAAGAAAATTAAAGAGAAGTCTCTCTTCCTGAATTATCACTCTAAAAATCTCACACTTGTTATTTCCATTTCCTTTGGAAGCTTGATATACCGTACACACTCGTCTTATGTCAGGAAAACTACTTTGTTTAGTCCCCAACTCATTTGAACATTCCTATGCCATTCCCTTTGCTTAACCATTGTTTATTAAATAAACTACAATAATAATCTAAGACTAATAAACATATTTATGGCTTAGCCCCAGCATAATCTGTAAACTCAACCACTATTTTTGATAGAGCAAAGTGATTTTGAGGACTGCCTCAACAGGAGCAGTAGGAATTAAATATGTGTCATTTCACCAGGCACTAGAAAAATATATATTTATTTAAAAGTCGTGCATTCTATCATTAAATTCACATGACAGAATTCTCTGGCTGTTTAGTTACCAGAACATTGTTATAAAAATTAGAAAGCAGCTAAAAGGTATCTACACTTATACACTCACATATTCCTGTTACAGAAGATATGAAGTGGGGAATTACTTCTTAAACAAAGGGAATCCACTGCTCAGACAGCAGAGTAGAAACTTTTAAAACTGGCACACACTCTAGTGGTAAATTCCAGTCTTTACAATCCTCCCAAAGCTCAAACAAAGCTGTAGTTATTACCTTCTCTTCATAATTTGGCAGCATATCTTTGCTTATCGTTATTATATCCATCCAAGAATAGTTCTTCTCCTTACGAATTTTGGCTAATTCTGGGTCAGTCTCATAATTGTCAGCATCCAGCTACAAAATAATAATAATAAAAAGGATTGTCTTGGTTCACTTATTCAAAACAAGGTAACCGGCATTCTGATGTACAAGGAAATTAAGGTCTCTCTAAAGCATTTTTTTCATGCTGAATTGAGGAAGAAATAGGGCTACAAAAAATACGACTTGTTTAAATACGATTATGCTTCACACACAATTGAAAATTGGGTCACCTAAGGCTCAGCAACACTAACAAGATTTTGCATAGTTTACACTTATTTACTTTCCAAAGATTTCACATGCAGCCTTGCAACTTTTTTCTCTTGAAAGCTTGCCAGTGTGTCTTTAAGAAGTGATGAATCATTTGTCAAAAAGAATAAAAAATTGTGGTCAAGAAAAAAGGTGGAATACTCAGTTTAGATAACCAAGTGTTTTTCATCCTTTTGGAACTCTTGAACAATACCAATTCAGTAAAGCAAACCGGTCCCAATTATGAAATTAATATTTCCTTCAGATAAATAACTTTAATGATAGATGCATGCATGGACTCTTCCAAGTCATGCAGAGCATCAGTTTTCCTGATTCGGTAAGCATTCATGTACTGATATATTATCCTACAATTCTGCAAATACCCCCCCCCCCCCATCAGCCTAATCATATGAATGGATGCACCTTGGCTTCAGAACAATCCCACAATTGAAACATTAATCTAAATAGGTACATGGATCAAGGATCATCAGGATTGCTTATTTAAAGGATAAAACATCTTCAGAGATTAGCAATAATATTCTTATTTTCTAGATCATTTTGATTCTTCAGAAATGAGATTATGACAAAGCCAGCTTTGTAATGTCATTATTAAGTTTTCCAAAGAAGGGAAAGCAGCTACCTCAAGAGCTTTAAACCCTTGCTTAAGTCCTTCCCTGGATTTTCCTCAAGGCACCTTGCCATCACCACGAGGGCAGATTTCCAAAACAACAAAATTAGCCTAGTACGGAAAGCAGCATGAATCAAGCAAACAAATGAGATTAAGTTTAAATCCTGACAAAACTAATAGGACTTTTCTAGTATATTTATCAATTTTTGAGACTGCTCAGGTCCGTATTAATAATATCTGTATTTCTCCTCCTTCTAAATCAGGGGTCTCCAACCTTTGCAACTTTAAGCCTGGTGGACTTCAACTCTCATAATTCCCCAGCCAGCAATTCTGGGAGTTGAAGTCCTCCAGGCTTAAAATTGCCAAGGTTGGAGACTCCTGTTCTACATGTAATAGCTCTACTTCATAGGAAGGAGTAGCAGCAGTGTAAAGCTGAGAGAAGCACAAATGCATCTATCTTGCCCAGGTCATCCAGAGATTGCCCTGCCTTTTCTAATGCAGTTTTCCTGTCTTCTAGATGTGTTGGATTTCAATTCCCATAATCCCAAACCATAATGACCTTCTATTACCGTAGCTGAAATCCAACACATCCAAAGGGAATCAGGCTGAGGAAAGCTATTATAAGGCAACAACCTTCCACTTTTTTAGGTGTACAATAAAGAAACAACCAAAACAAAGGTGCAGGAGATTTTGGATTTTTTTTTAAGATACAAGTTTTTAAGGTCTGCCTATTAAATTAGCCAATTCTACCTAAATAAATACGAAGTATTGATGAATGACTAGGAAAACAGTCTTTCATGGACTTCATAATTGGAGCTATAAAAGGCCTTGCATATCACAATGATACCAAAAATAATACTGCTGAGAGGCTACATTCTCAGAAAGATCATCCACTGTAAAAAGGTCATATCCAAAGGACCAAATTAAAGGAGGAACAACAGATCTTCTACCGTAGTAATCACAGGGAAAGAAATGAGTAGGTGTCCTTATTACCAAAAGGGTACCAAAGCCAACGTAGTTAGTAAAGTTAGTGTAGTAGTTAGTTTATCTTTAAGCATGACTAAATGATATAATGTTCTCAACTCCAAGACAAGCCATTCAATATTTCAGTGATCCGCATCTATGGTCCAACCACAGATACAGTTGATATGAAGAGTGCGCACGAGAGAGAGAGAAGCAAGCATGTGCAAGAGCGAGCAAAGCAAGCAAGCGCACGCGGCCCCGTTGCAAACCAGTAGTAAAGGTAAGTAGAACCCACCCCTGCCCCACACCTAAAAAAGGTAAATTAACAATACACTAAAACACTACCATTACACCAGCAATAATAAGAACAGTTGGCATTGGGTATACAAAACCAAGCAGGAGAGGGACTAACAGATTTTTGCCAAGAAAATACAATATTCAGAACAAATATTTTCTTTTCAACAAAAGAAAAGATAACTCCACACACGTTCATAATTGCAATGCTCTCTACATGGGGTTGCAATGCTCTCTACATGGGGCTCCCCTTGAAAAGCACCCGGAGGCTCCAACTGGTCCAGAATGCGGCTGCACGGGTGGTTATGGGCGCAACTCGTTGTGCCCACGTGACACCCCTCCTGCGTGAGCTACACTGGCTCCCAGTGGTCTTCCGGGTGCGATTCAAGGTGTTGGTTACCACCTTTAAAGCGCTCCATGGCATTGGACCTGGATACCTTCGAGACCGTCTTCTGCCACCAGTAGCCTCCCACCGGCCAGTTCGCTCCCACAGAGAGGGTCTCCTCAGGGTGCCATCGGCCAAATTATGTCAGCTGGCGACACCCAGGGGGAGAGCCTTCTCTGTGGGAGCCCCAGCCCTTTGGAATGAACTGCCCCCAGAAATTCGTAAAATCTCTGATCTCCGTGTATTTTGCTGTGCCCTCAAAACCTTGTTGTTCCGCCGGGCTATCAATGTAAAGATTTTAATTGGTTTTAAATATGGGATTTTAAATTTGGGGTTTTATAATTGGGCCTATCATTTAATAATTTTAATTATTTTTAAATTTTGTCTGTCTTTGTGCTTTTAATCAGGCTGTACACCGCCCTGAGTCCTTCGGGAGAAGGGCGGTATAGAAATAAAATTAATAAATAAATAATAAATAAATAATTGGAGGATCATCAATTTCAATATATTCTGCAAGTAAAGATGGAATTCTATTCAATTAGCAAAAATAAAAACCAGTACTGATTGCAATTGTCTCATTAACGTTTTCTTCCACAATCTCAACTTGAAACGAAAGAAAACAAATGCAATCACCAGACCAACAAGAAACGGCTCCTGTGATGTTCTATATAATTAAGTGGTGAACATAATGAATAAATGTCATGGATTGGATTTGCTAAACATGCCTGAGGAACTGAGGACTGAAATTCATTACATCATTATATGATGTAATATGAAGCATACAGATAGTCCTCACTTAATGACCACTCATTCCGCTACCTCCAGTTGACCTTTGCCATCTTCTTCCTCCTGCTGTTGAGGAGGTGTGATAAGTCTGGCCCTTCACAAGACAGCTGCTGGTTGCATAAGGTCTTTTTCCAAAGGCCACACACGACCTTCTTGAGGGCTTCCCATGGTCAGCAACTGTTTCACAAAGGGCCAGGCTGGGTGCACCTTGTCAGCAACAGCAGAAGATGGCAAAGGTCAGCTGGGAACAGCAAAAACAGCAAAGTGGAACTTTCATTCCCTCCTGGCTGTACTTATTAGTCACCACAGCCATTTTCCCACCTGCCAGCCTGCTTGTGAGTCGCCCAGGACTCGCAATTTCCTAACAGCATCCCCAATGACTTTGCTTGTTGAAAGCCACAACTTGTGAGATCCTTGTTTTAACAGCCCGTAATTCTCACTTAAACCAAGAAACAGGGACTGTTGCCATTGATACACAATGTGGTCATGTAACGTTCCCCTTTATGACCACATCACTAGAAACGAAAAGTCCGATCCCAGTTATCAATGGTATCAAAAGCTGCTGAGAGATCAAGGAGCGAAAGGATGGCCATACCACTCCTATCCCAGCTTTATCACAGGTCACCTACAAACATGAGCAAAGTTGTCTCTGCATTAAACCCCAGTCTGGAAACCAACTGAAATGAGTCCAAATAATCTGTTTTTTCCAGAGCCCTCTGGAGCTAAAGCCTAACCACCACATTTCCTAACAAAAGGGAAGGCTGGAGACTGGATGATAGTTGTCCGGGACTGTTGGGCCCAGTAATATCTTCTTGAAGAGAGGACATAGCAAAACCTCCTTGCCAAACTTTTCCTCAGAGAAGTTGACACCACATGGACCCAACCACACGCCAGTTCCCAGGCAATCTTAATTATCCAGGAGGATATGATCTAACAAACAGTAGCTGAGGTAACAGATTGGAGAACCCTGTTCGCTTCCTCTGGAGCCACAGGGCTAAAATTGCTTCAGATAATTACACGAGATCTTGATCTGAAAGCTTCAACAGGACCTGCCTGGTCGGAATCCAACCCAAGCGAGTATGAGCGACTTATCTGCCACATAGCAAGAATATTCGCAGCAGCTGGTCCCTCCCCAACAGTATAGAAGCCACACAAAACAACAGGAAAAATGAGCTGAAGGTACAGATTCTCCAACCCCTCAGTTAAGTCACCCACATCTGGCTTTTGTAGTTTTTTTTTAGCCTCCGGGGAAAACTAAAATTAGCGTCTAGCATTACTAATGTAGACATTATCCTGTATTTTTTTTTTTAATCCTGCCCTCTGCCTCACAAGACAAGAACCTGTCCTACAACAGTGGGAAGAAGTCCAAGGAACTGATGGATTTTATATTTTCATGACAACAGGGAACAAACCTTGTTCCTCTTCCAAGTAAAATGATTTGCAACTAAATGAGGTCCAATCAAGTCTTCCCTGAGCAGTTCTCTTCCAGTTCTGTACTACAGTTCTCTTCAATTCCAGCTCAAACAGTCAATCAGCGCAAGGGGAAGGGTGTACTGAACTGTCTTTTTGTTTGTGTGGAATTAGGAAGGGGGAGTGTTTTGCATTTATGGGAGAATCACTGTTTGTAATTTGCATACATGTGTTGCCTTCATAGCTTATTGGTATGAATATTTACAACTGTAATGCATGGTATTCTCCTGGTCAACTAAACAGAACACAAAATGACCTGCAAAGGTGAATTTTAATGCATGAAAGCTTACACCATGATAAATTTGTCAGATGTTAAGGTGTCAGCAGGTATTATCAGCGATGCTAATGATTACTGTTATTAATAATTATACTTGTTTTGCAAATTTCCTTTCATGACCCACTAATGTCCCAGAGAACTACAGCAATGATCCCATTGGACCCAAAAAGGCCAAGGGGCTGGACTCACACCAGCTTCACCAAGCCAGCAAGTGATTGAACTGGCAATATTGTACAGTAGACAATACTTTTGGCTAGGTTGTGTGTGTTTTGTGTGTCTGTGTACATGTTCATGCATTAGTCTGTTAGTTCTGATGTTATGAAACCCATAAAATGAGGTAGCTGCAGGCCCCCTTTAATATAAGTCAAGGGGATAAACAGAAGAGAGGCAATCCAAAGCATAATATAAAATGTGAAAATATGATCACATTTTGTCATTAAAGCAAATGCCATCCGTTAAAACAGAACTTGTAGGAGCTGTCAGTTTTTCAAGAGGTCAGATTCCCCTGTACGATCTCCATAACTGGATTGCTTATTTTTAACGCATTTTTTCAGGGTAAAGAGGGGGGGGGGAGAAACACCAAATAAAAAGGAAAGAAGGAAAGAGAGGAAGGAAGGAAGGAAGAAAGGAAGGAAGAAAAAGGAAGGAAGGAAGGAAGGAAGGAAGGAAGGAAGGAAGAAAGAAAGAAAGAAAGAAAGAAAGAAAGAAAGAAAGAAAGAAAGGGAAGGAAGAAAGAAGAAAGAAAGAAAGAAGAAAGAAAGAAAGAAAGAAAGAAAGAAAGAAGAAGAAAGAAAGAAAAAAAAGAAAGAAAGAAGAAAGAAAGAAGAAAGAAAAAGAAAGAAAGAAAGAAAAAAGAAAGAAAGAAAGAAAAAGAAAGAAAGAAAGAAAGAAAGAAAGAAAGAAAGAAAGAAAGAAAGAAAGAAAGAAAGAAAGTCAAAGAGGAACATTTTCCCCCACGGTCTCTCCAAGGCTTGGAGTTAACCCCGGTTAATTCAAGAATGAAGCTCGCTTAATGAGGGCGGCCAGTATGCTCCGTGGCTAAGGGTGGATTTGGGACTCCGTCCCCACCACCCTCGGCAAGGCCGGAAAAGCGATCCCCGCCACCGAGCACAAGTCAGTCGCCTTTGCCTCGGGCTCGTGCGCCAGATCCCCCAGCCTGGTTTTGCGCAAGCTCGCTGCAAACCGAGGCAGATCCCGGGCAGCCTTTTTTGCAAGTCTCGGACGCGGCCCGCCTCCCTCCTCCTGCTCTGCCTACTTTCCAGTAAAAGACGCCGATCCGGCTCAGCTGCTCTAGGCTGACCGGCCGATCCGGCTCTGGGCGATGCGGTTTCCGGGGGTCCTCCCGGGAATCGTCCATATACCAAGCCTCCACCATCGTCCCCCTGCCACCGAGCCTCCGCTCCCGCCTCCCGCGCCGCCTCCGACCAGGGCCGAGGGAGACGCCTCCCCGGCCCGCCCCTCGCCGGCCGCCAGGACGTCGTCCCGGTTTTCCTGGCCTGGAGCTGATGCGCTGCCTCCGCCAGGACTCCTAAGCTAAACTCGGGGGGGATTTAACTTCCAAGGGCGGTAAACGAAAGTCTACCGTTTGCTACGGAAGTGCCGATTCCCCTCCAGGGGTTTCGCAGGAGAGGGCAGAGCCCAGGCGTTTACAATGGTTGAAGCACCGCGGGCCTTTCCGTCTGGGCCTAAATACAGGTGCAAGTCCGGTTTTAGCATCCCGGATCACTCTCCTCCCGCCACACACAGCCCCGCCACGCAACGTCCTATCGCTAGTTCCGTTGTTTGGCCTTCACTTTGTGATGTCTGCTAGTGAGAAGAGGGGAGGGGAGGGATGGGTCAACCTCATGAGGCGTGTTACCTCTCTTGTCACCCCCCACCCCCAGGCAGATGGCTTCTTTTGAGCTAATGGGTTCCCTGAGTACAGGTGATCCTTGACTTAACGATCACAATTGAGCCCAGCATTTCTGTCACTAAGTGAGACAGTTGTTAAGTGAACTTTGCCCCATTTAGGACCTTTCTTGTCACAGTTGGTAAGTGGATCGCTGCAGTAGTTACATGGTTGTTACGTGAATCTGCCTTCCCCATTGACTGTGCTTGTCAGAGGTTCACAAAAGGTGATCGCAAAAGGACACTGCACCGTCACAACAATGAGTCAATTGCCAAGCATCTGAATTTTAATCACCTGACCATGGGGATGTTGAAATGGTCATAAGTGTGAATAATGGTCATAAGTCACTTTTTTCAGTGCCGTTGTAACTTTGAATGGTCTCTAAATGAAATAACTCATCATTCTCCGGGTCTCTCCCAGGTAGCAGGTTTCCCCATTTGGCAAAGCAAGACTCCAGTGGAAGCTCTCAGAAAAGCAAGGAGAGGGGAAAACGAGATACCTGGAAAAAGAGTTTTCTCTGATGCAAAAAGAGACAGCACCAGGCACTGGAAGAGCGGGGACTTTTAAGACCCGAGAAGATTTCTCTTTCCCAAAAGATGGAGAAACATTTAGTTCCTCTCTTCCTGGAAAGAACTGAATAGCAGAAGGTAAGGGATGAAGAACCTAAACCAGGGCTGTTAAAACTTGCGGCCCACGGGTCAGATGGGTCACATACTGGCCACGCTCACGTCCGGTTTGGCAATGGGGGAAAAAGTCACAATACCTCATGTGACACTGCCGTGACGACACAAGTTTGACACCCCTGATCTAGGCTGTTTAAATTACTGAAGGGAAGAATGTGCATTTTGAAAGTCTACCACAACTATTTGTTGAGGGCAAGTCTTACAACATTCTCTAGGGAAGAAAGGAGTTCCCCAATAATTTCTCAACAGCAGGATTCCCCGTGCAGTGCTAAGAGTACCAACTCTACTGAAAAAGCCTCTTGGTGTGACTTCCTTTGGGATTTCAGAGATGTGGGCACAACAATGGAGCTGCAAATATTGGAAAGACAAGTGGACAATGGGCAGTAGGATATTCAAACATAATCCTTGGCCGCCTTGTATGGTAACTCAGGATGGATGGAGAACTTTTGAGCAGATGTGGATCTGAAGCCAAACTCCCAACCTTTTGGATTACTGAAGGAAGCAATAAGGAAATGGAATGCTGTAGTATCGTTGCCAATGATGTGGCTGAAGATGTTCAGCATGGTGGACAGCAATGCTTGAGAATGGAGACAGGAGGCTTTAAAAGGGCAACCTGCTCCCATTTTGATTCTTCAAATCACCCCTCCCAGGAACTGACCATTTTGCTGCCAAAGTTCAAGTGATGTACTATACTCCCAGGTTGCTGAGGGGTGCATGCCTTCTTAGATTGCTCTCTCTTCCTGCGGCTATTCAGGATGTGCAGGAGAATTTCTCTCTGATGCTATTTCAAGCCTTTTGGGTGACACACTTTTAACAAATGAATAAATGGAGCAAACAGATTCTAAGAAAAGCAACAAGAATAATCAGGGACCTGGAAACTAAATCTCATACTGGGGGGAACTGAGTCTATTTAACCTTGAGAAAAGATGACGGAGCAGGGATGCAAAAGTACTTTCAAGTACCTGAAGGGGCATCAGACAGAAGAAGAGCAAGACCTGTTTTCTTTCGTTTCAGAACAAGAGTATGGAATAATGGATTTAAATTATAGGAAAGCCTTCTGGCTAAATGTTAGGGAAAGATTTAAGAAAGCAGTTCCACAGAGAGATCAATTACTCAGAGGGGATGAAAATCAGAATGCATCTGGTGAAATGAGCTGCACTTCACAAAGGCTTATGCTTTTTAATAAAATTGGTTAGCATGACAAGATGGCTCTGGAGTTTTGGCCACCACAGAGTAACACAGCTGTCTTCCTACCATGATAGATGTATTTGGTTCTCTCTTATTAGATATGTTTAAGCATAGACATATGTAAAGAGCTATCTCTCTGGAGAAGACTGTGGTGCTAGAGAAGGTGGAAGGAAAGAGAAACGGGTAGATGGACTCAGTTACCATGGCAAGGATGCACTGTTGAAAGACAAGCCCTTCTGCTTCAAGGAATTGAAAACACAATGCAACAATACAGAAAATACTTTACCCATTATGTATTCCCACCCTTATTTCTGCTCTTAGCCAACCTTGAACAAAACTTTGGAAATCCTTGAATCTCTGCATGGCCCATTTTTGTTACAACTAGGACTTCTTAAAAATATTTTCAGGGAGGGAGTTTTATTTTGGGCATCCACAGTAGGAAATAAACTCTGCTTTGTTCTGTGGGGCTTTCTTCTGAGTGAGCTGACACACTATATTCCCCATTCCCCAATATTTACATACAATAGAAGCTGAGGTCTGCAACCTTTAAGTGCTGCAAGCTTTCACCGTGAAAGCAAGGGCGGAGGCTAGAAACTGGCCAAGAGACAGAGGCCGGGTAGCTGAGATGCCAGAGGACAAGATCAGATCTCATGGCTTCGCCGAGAATGGTGTATGTCAATGTTTGTGTCTGTTTGATTTCACTTCAGATAAGCAGCCAAGCAGAAAGCTTGTTGTCATCTTGGGTCTCTTTGCAGAGGAAAATTTGGGTAGTATTATTGCCTTTTCGTCTAGCAGGGAAGAAATGGAGCATGTGTAGAACCCCAAGAATTTATTGTGCTTAAGGCTCAAGCTATAGATACACGCTTCGCCTTGAACATTAAATTCCAGACAGACACCGCTCACAGCTGGAGCCTAAGGAAACACCAAATGTTGCATCTTGGTTGTGTTTGCTTCTTTCTCAATTATTTTTAATTTAGCTCCCCTCTTGCTTGTGGATTTCCAAGCATATGCCAAGCACAGCTTCCACATATCAAATGGTTTTTAGTTTGCTGGTGCATCCAAAAACTGACACAGGGCAGGATCAGAAGCAATCAGCAGGATTTTTCTAAACTTGTCTGCTCTCACGGATGCCTCCAGGCCTGCATTTTCTCCAGTTCCCAGGACTGCAGGAAATGCACCTCACGAAGTGCTCCAGCAAATCAATTCTGAGTCAGATGCTGCTCCCAATACCCCCCCTTAGTCCCTCTAGGCAAAACTGAAGGAATTTCTTCTAAGCTAAGCAGGCCAGTAGGCTGTCTGGAAAAGACAGATAGGCAGAGAGAAAATGAGTTCTAAAGGTGCAGGTAATGGAAGACTTTGTTAAATGGTTCAGCTCTAGCTAGAAGACGGGATTGAGTAGCTGGGCAACAGCTGTCAGCACTGGGCTATCTGATTTTTCTTCTAGTCTCATAGCTCAAGTGAAAAAAGTTAAATAGTGCAGTAATAAGACTTTTAGGTCAAGAGTTTTAGAAATATAAATATTACTCAAAATTTAGCTTTCGGAAAAGCCAGAATCTTACAACTCCTTTAAAATTGATGCACTTATCATGGCACCAGCTTTTTAGGTCTAAAGCCCATGATATAATGTGCCTGAGAGTTAACAGGTCAATAGGTGATTGCCAATGATGCCTATTCTTGAATGAAATGGAGATTTTGGTGGAATGGATTTCCTTCTTTTCCCTACAGCTCCCATATATCTGTCCAAAAATGGCTCCAAACTATAGGGGAAATAGTTGAAACAGATACAAGATCAAGAGAAGTAATTATTCATTTCTATTCTGTGTTGATCAGATTTCACTTAGACTACAGGTAGTCTTCGACTTATGACCACAATTGAGCCGAAAATTTCTGTCGTTTCAGTGAGACTTTTGTTAAGTGAGTTTTGCCCCATTTTATGACCTTTCTTGTCACAGTTGTTCAGTGAATCACTGCAGCATGGTTGTTAAGTGAATCTGGCTTCCTCATTGATTTTGCCTGTCATAAAGTTGCAAAAGGTGATCGCATGACCTTGGGACAGAGTAACGGTCATAAATATGAATCGGTTGCCAAGCATCTGAATTTTGATGACATGATCGTGGGGATGCTGCAAAAGTTGTAAGTGTGAAAAATGATCATGTCACCTTTTTCAGGCTGTTGTAACTTTGAACAGTCATTAAGTGAACAGTTGTAAATTGAGGACTACCTGTATTATTCCACTCCTGGCAACCAAATTAATAAGCGGTTGAAGGAAAAATATATGAGGCAGTGGTGAAATCCAAATTTTTTTTACTACCTGTTCTGTGGGTGTGGCTTGGTGTACGTGGTGTGGCTTGGGCGTGGCTTGGTGGGCGTGGCAGGGGAAGGATACTGCAAAATCCCCATTCCCACCTCACTCCTGTGGGAAGGATATTGCAAAATCTCCATTCCCACCCCATTCTGGGGCCAGCCAGAGATGGTTATTTGCCGGTTCTCCAAACTACTCAAAATTTCTGCTACTGGTTCTCCGAACTGATCAAAATTTCCACTACCGGTTCTCCAGAACCTGCTGGATTTCACCCCTGATATGAGGAAAGATTGAAGACCTGGGTCATGTCTGATATAGAGAAAAGAGACATGATGACCATCTATCATGTAGAAGACGTATTGTT